GGGTGGCTGTGCGGCGTTTTGGGCCTTGCAGCTTACAAATCGTGCTTGTCGGCTCACGTCATACTCGAAGCTTCAAAAAAGTTCAAGAGTGAAGACAGTCGCGAGAAGATTGGTTACGAACGAGCACACGTAGACTCTTGCGAGCGTTTGCGAACCCAACTTTCACAACGAGAACCCGTCGCTATGCATTCGGCGAAGCAGCACCCCCAAGGCTGTGATAGAAGCATTCAATCATGGAGCCTTGCGGCACCACCCAGCCCAGGTGCACGTGCGTCCGGAGCAATTGGAGCGGACTGCTCTTGAACTGGGTGGCTTGGACATACATCCGAATCATTGAAGGCGTGAAGTGAAGGCGCTGCAAGGCCATTAATGTGTTTGACTGCCGCTTGCACGTCTGAATCCGATACACAAATGACATTCATTTCGAAGTCCTTAGGCAGACCCTTGCCGAGGCTACCCAGTGTGGGCAGGGTATGTCACCTTGGAGAACGAGCATCGTGCCTCAAGACATGGATAGCACGCAATCATTCAGGTGCACGGCCTGAGAGTTGCAGACAATTGCGCTACTGGCCGCTACTGTACCAGTTACCTATTTCAGTTGATATTGCTATCGCAGTCCGCAGGTAGCGTGAGTGTTACGTTCTGGCAAACGTGCCCCAGTTTGCGGAGAGTGGTGCTTGTGCACACTGAGGACGCAGTTGTTTATCCTTGCGCAGAAGTGCCGTGAACTCGAAAGGCAGCAGCTCGACATCGAGTTGCAATGCAGTGAGTTGCCGGTTATCTGTTGATCATGTTGAATGATGTTGCATGATTGTTGGCTTTGTCAGACGAAGCCAAGGCGAGCATGGGAGAGAGCTGGATTTTCTTTGGAGCAGGCCAGCGAAGTGTCAGCCGGTGTCGACGCAATGCGTCGTGCACGTATCTGTAAGTTGCCACAAGTTGCCATAAGTTGCATTATGTGAGACCCCGCGGGACTTTCCTGAGAGAGCCTGAGGCAGAGCATCTCAAACTCAGAAGCAAGAAGTGCTGCCTTGCGGTCGGGGTGTAGGGGCACTTGGGGCACTTGGACCTAGGCGCCAGCCGTTATTGTTTGGCTGCTGCGTGCAGACTGGTAGTGGGGATTAGAAAGTGATAATGCCATGACAACATTGTGTGAACAGATGGTCGGCTTGCTTTCGCCCTTGCGTTGTGTGTAGGGTTAAAGGATCAGATCGCAAGCTTGCGTAAACTGAGAAGTGAGGTTTCGTCACACGCCTGTAGATTGTGCGCGGGCTGTGCAGGGAATCCGCATGGTCCAACATAACATCACTGACACTGCGCTGCTCACATCTTCTGTCCCGCGCGCACGACATGTAATTTACAACTTTTGCTGCTTGCTTTGCTGAAGGATGTCATCCGGAATTTTAGTTGTGGGGTTCGATTCCAAAAGCCTTGTGGCTGTTTGTGTCAACCCTCGAGTCAACATGAGCCAGTTGCGACGATGGTTTATCGCAGGTCTCCCGCTTTCAGCAAATCTTTGACCCCCTGTCCAGCAAGCACAGTGGTCGAGGTGCATCACCCAGCAGCCATGTAGCGAATGCACGTCGCAACAGCCGTGGGCCGTTGTCTTCGGCAGGTATACGGTTCGAGGGTCTCTTGTACATCATTCACCAGATGGGCATCGTACCCAAAGGTCGCGCCGATGAGGCCTGACGTGTGAACAGGATGATTTTGTCATATGTTGTCCTTCTCCATCACGAGAGATCTTGCTCGCAGGCAGATTTGGAAGCCACAGCCTTTAACGGCCGAGATCGCTCCGAACTCGTCTCCTTTCTGGACTGCTTACACTCTGCAAGACGGTGACTTGGCGGCTCTGGTGCTGCACATCATGTGGTGCGCAAAGTCATACTGTGTCTGTGCCGTTACTGCTGTTACCCTTGAGATCGTCTTCAAGAAACCGCCAGCACTCGAGGTTCTTGGACAAGAAGGAAATGGATGCCCGGTCGAAAGAACTACGAGCCGCTGATATCGCAGGCATTCCCCAGGCAAGGATTGCATCTGCTAGGGGGCCTTGCGGCTCTGAATCACACATGTACCAGGTAGATCCAGCTAGCAGTTTCACGAATTCAGAAAGAGTGTCGGCCCTGGCAGGAAGAGCTGGAAATCTTCCGAGCCACCTGGGCAGATTTTAAGTGCTGCAAACATGGTGTTCCACCCCGTAGGGCGACGTGTTCGGCATCCATCGCCGCATCGGGTGCGCACTAAGGCATTCTACAAGCAACTGATTGCTGAGGACAACCAAGGCACGGGTGGTGACAGGTTTGCAGTGCAGCTTCAGATTCGAACAAATCGTTATAACATCCCCAAGGCTTACTGGTTTGCCATCGGCCATCCACACAAAATGTAACCAAACCACCAAATGCGGGTTTTCTGACCTCAACGTCTTTGATCGTCCATCCGAGCGCCCAAATCAAACTGACCCCCGCCCGAATCAACCATTTTCATGTATATCTTAGTATGACTTCGTGAGAATGATTGAGGATGTACATATAATGGAATATATCTGCTTCTGTATAAGCTGTACAATGGCCACGCTTTGAAAGCTTCTTCTGGCCTCGTTCGTCCAGACGTCGCCGATGGTGCCCGCCATTAACCAAACCCTCTCAGAATCCTGTTCTAATTGCGATTAGTACTATTACTACTATTATTATTGCTAGGATTGCAGTATTATTATTACTATTATTACTATTATAATTATTATTTCTATTATTATGACTATTACCTTTCCGCAAGTACTTGTTGGCACTGTGCGGCGGGTTTCAGGGGGTTGGTTGCATGTCGCACTCCCACCTCGGTCCCATGCACTTACTCGTTAAGTGAAGACTTATCCTTGCTTTTGGTGATGCCGTAAGTGACGTTTACGTGCCGTCATTTTGGTCTGACACTGTTAGAATGTGTGTTGGCATACATTTTTCCATTTTTCCCTGATGAAGTTTGCATGGAAAATATGCACACGACACAATTTTCAGGGTGGCCCTTGAAGCGAAGCCCAGAGCCGGCCGGGCTGTTACACAGAACAGGATGTTTGTGAGGGTGGTGTCTAATAATGTCCAATACATTCAGCTTGTGAAGTTTGATTTCAGAAATGCACAGAACTTCATGTCAGCGACATGAAGAGGTGGAAGCCTCAAAACATGGGACCGAGGCAAGGGAGCGCGATGATCACGGAATGCGCACGGGACCTAGGCGGTCACGAGCCCGGACTGCGAGAGCGCGATTTTTGCGCGGTTTACCTTAGCTAGGCCCTCCTCAGGCTCCTTGGTCAAGACCCCCGATTTACTAGTACAAATGTTTTCGGCAAAGGGTTGAAAAGTCCACAGTCTCAGAAGTCCTGTCTTGGCTTTGCTCGACTGATCAAGATATGGAGGAGTTACAAGGGCCACCCTCCCAGAATTTTTGTTTTGTGCATCCATCGTCCGAATGTATCCAAAGTCCTGTTCGGGGCATAACCACTGCAACCTGTCCACGGCTTCCTCAGACATAATTACGCTAGAACATTTGACATAATGGACCGGGCAAGGGGTGTAGCATTTAGATGAATGCAGTCGCGGTCGTGTGTCATACGTTAGATCTGATGCAAGAGACAGCTTGAAGTTCGTAAAGGGTTTGTTTGCCCGCTGGTTGTCTTGGGAGCCCCACCACGCACCAAGCAACCCGCCTGCCCCCCCCTACCCTGCGTGCACTTCAGCGCGCCCAAAACTGCCAGCAGGCAACAAGAAAGACTTCTCCTACTTCGCCCTCTGCCGTGGAGTACAGATCATGGGTGCCACCCTGACCGTAGAGCGGAATGCGGAGCTTGAGCAGAGCCTTGCGTGCATCAATACATCCGTACATGACTGCACATGCGTACAATGCTCAGCTTTCTGGCACGTGCCGTCAAATCCAAGGATGTTCAAGGAGCACGCAGTATCCTCCAGTTCCAGTGGTTCTTCGAAGTCGCAGCTGAGTCTTCCATTCCCAAAGCTGCTTGGAGATTGCCAGGGGCGTAGACATGAAGAACTCCGAGCACAAATCGCAGCACACAAATCGCAGTTGCCATGGTGAAGGTCCAAGTGACATTGTAGAATTGACAGTCTGCAAGGTTTATCGTCATGATGGGCACGCTCTTCAAGTTGGACTTTGCCGGGCTGAGGCCATTGTTGCGGTGTCTTGAATGAAGAACAGAACAATGAGCTACTAAGAACTTTGGCAAAGCGTGCATTTGCCACGAACAGAGGTCATAAAGTCAAGCAGAGATGGCTACCAATTGACACATTGCATCGAACCCGCAGGACGTCGGCGGCACGCGCCCAAGAGGCCCATGCTGTTCTTGCATTTCTTTCAGAATTTGGTGTGCTGCAGAGAAGATCAAACTCTCAGTGAGCTGGAAACTGGTTGCGTGGTGCAGGAGTCGGCTTTGATGCGAGGCGTGTCGAAGTTCAATAGCGTCCACTCGAGACACTTGGATCAACAGCAGCGGAAATTCTTGCTCCCATTTCAACACATCTGCCGCATCCCTTACAAGTAGGAAGCATGGCAGATTCAGCATCGTGGTTCATTTCATCTGGAAATATCTCGAAGGAATCATCTGAAGCTTGACAATGAGGTACCCTCAGCATGCGTGGGCGAAAGAAGTCCGCGATCCGGGTTTCCCGTGGTTGACACAATGGGCAAAGGAAACACTCCATACTGCGTGGGGCCAACTCTTCAGCCAAGTCCTTCACGAAGGCAGTCTGTGATCCTGTGGAGATACATGGCAGGCCATGAAGGCCACTAGTCCAGCTGCATTTGCGTTTCCTGCGAAGCAGACGCCCGCTGCTCTCAGACAAGCTAAGCTACTGAGTTGCAGAGCTGCAGCTTCCAAGCTCGCCGGAGGAGAAACATTACTTGCAATGAGACTGCAGCCCGCTCTCTGCAATCAAGTCTGCCTGTACTTTGCGATGTCTTACGATGCCTGCTTAGTATGTTGTAATGTAGCCCAGGTCTCGGCCTACAAGCTGCCGTTGGCAAGGAGCCGACCTCCAGGCTGCATGCACCCCCACTCGGTCGTTTGCGTGCCCCACCCGCCCAAACGTCACCTGTCATACCTGTTTTCAACGGCAGTAGGACGTGGGTGACGTAAAAACCCAGTGGTATACGATGCTTCGGTGTCTGCGCTAATTAACTTCATGGTTTCAGCATGTTTCTTGCTCACCGGCCTCTGGTAGCAGCACTCCGCGGATTTCCCCTTTGTTGCCCATGACATGGCACAGAATGCCACAAGCGCTTGCGCCACCAGGCAGCAGTCATGGATCTCGGCCTTTAGGCCGGATCTGCGGAAATTCAACTTCAGCAGACATGCGCTCTCAGGTCACTGTGGAACCACAATAAAGGGCTGCGCATACATGGTAGATCAAGGCACAGTAATTAACTGTGGCCAATTTCGATAGCGGCAGGTCTGGCAGGTCACCAAGGAGACATCCTCTCTGTGTGCTCACGTCTCAGTTCTGAGTCAAAGGATCTCCCAAAAGCCGATGTCCCAAGTATCGAGCAACAGACAGTGCCATACAGCAGCAAATGGACGTCCGGGGTGCAGACATCACAGAGGACGTCGTGGTGCACCGGAGAACTCCAGTCCTGGTGCAGTGCCTGTTCCAAGGCACGCTTCGAAACTTTGACTCATGACCGAGGCCCGTCATACACAGAGTCACATTCTACCGGTGGCGGCGGCGGCCCCTTGCTGCTGACCTGTGGCCAGACACTTGGAATCGGGTTCGCACCCTGAGCTTCCAAGATTGGCGCGAGTCGCATCAGGGGCCTCTTCAGACAGTCCTTGTGTCGCAGCAGGGGTAGCCTGAGGAACATGCTTTTCAAGTTCCTTTCCTTGTTCTGGGGGGTGGGGGTCCACCCTGGTATGTCTTTTTCGGTTTTTTTTTGCTTTCTGGCCCTGGGACACAGTAAAAGACTTAAGGTCCGGCTTTCTTACGACAGTATCGTGCATCAGCGATTTGAGCCGTATCCAACCTTACGATGACGCAGTGAATGGAGCGACAGTTACAACAAAGCAACAGACAAAGAAGTTTGTGAAGTCCTTCAAAAGTTCTCTTTTGAAGCTGTTTCTTCGGCTAAACAATGGTCAACAGTTCCCGGCTCACACAGCCCATATCTTCTTTAGGTGTTGCCTGGCTAGTAGGATGTAGGAAGCACCCTACGACACGCATTACAAGCAGGTATCATGAGGTTGTCGGAGCTCAAGCCCGCAAACAGCTGATAGTAGAGAGCCAAAGTGCGTGCTCTCAGCAAGCAAAGCTGTTCTTCTTGGAGCTCGAGCTCGTCCAGGAAGCAGCTGTAAACAGCAGTTAGCAGCTGTCCACTGCACGCCCGGACCCTTCACGTGCGGTATTTGGGACTCCATAACGATATTCGCCATTTTCTTCAAAATTCAGCAGCGCACCCAAAGTGCGGCATTCACTCCGGATTCACGAACAAGCATCTTGGCTGCCTGCATCTCCTGAGGTGATGACCGAACTGCCCGCCTGTGGGCGCTGGCTGGGCTTTGGCCTGAGTCCGCTCATGCTCGTGCTCGCAGACCGTGGCAGCTTCGCGCAAGTCCGTCTCAATGGCATAAGGCCTCATGCTGGCGCAGAGCTGATTCGCTTCGATCGCTTGCGTGGCAGTAGCAGCTGCTCGCGATCCCAGGCTTCGTACGGCCTAGTAAGATCAGCATGAAATCAGCCGAAATTCGACAAGTCAACGGAAATCGTGAAGTGCAGGCATCCTGGAACTCGGAGGACAATCCTCTGCTCGAACAGGTGCAGGCAAGTACAGAAGTGCACGATGTGCACGTGACTATATTGAATCCTGGCAGTTGTTTTCTCAACTAGTATGCGGCTGTGACCGCTTTCACCTGAAGGACTCGCACTTCCTGTGCTTGGACGGAGCCATTGCTTTGGCCACCGGCGCTCGGTTGGCAGTTTATCGTTTTCAATTGCATCTCCAGGCCGGAGGATTGTGCCAAAATGTGTGGCAATGCAGCGTACGCCATTGTAAGCAGGACTTGTCCGACGACATCAAGCGACTGCAAAGGCTTCCAGGGAAATGGAAGGGGGAGGGGCGGGGGGGCAGGGCGCACCATAAATTCGCACAATTGGCCACAGGCTCGGCTCCTATCGTTGCTGCGGCTTGCTGGCGCTACCTCGTGAACCCTCAGCTGGGCAAGGCATCGTTGCCCTTGCAGCCAACAACGCCCAGCACCAAGATTGCGGTTTTGTGTGCATGGTGAATGTTGCTGGAATTCGTGCGCATCCAGGCAGTGTTGTCAGGCACTGTGCTTGTGCAGGCCTCAGGCGTCCTCCAGACCAGAGGGAAAAACAGCTTTGCGGCTTTGTGTGTATGAAAAGTTTGTGGCCAAGAATCAAGGTGGCATCATCCAGCAAACGTGTCTACGTTTGGGATGTGGCTGCTGAGAAGGCCCGATAGGAGTTGATTTGTAAACGCTGCTTACCAACCAAATTCTTTCCTGCTTGAAACTTGCATGGAATTGTAGGTTCTTGAGTTCGTTGCTGTGGCTAGTCATGGTTGTTCGTCCCCATTCTCAGCGCTAGCATTGCCAGCATTAGTTGGTTTCGGCGCATTCTACACATTCAGCACGGCAAGCTTCCAAGTGGCTTCACAGATCCAGCCGTTGCGGAAAGGTCCTCGCGACCGTGCCGGATCCGATCCACGCAAAGGCAGTGACATGCTTACGCATGGCGCAGCCGGTATCTCAGAAGGCAGAATTATCTGGAATGGATGAAACAATTTCTCGGGATGGTCATCCGCTGCATGGTTCACAAGATGAGGCCTCATGCTGGCCAAAGCGCTGCTTCCATGGACATGTTCTATTCTGCGGGAATGGATGGTTGCATCAAGTTGTGGGACCTTCGTACAATGCAGGACCTCCACGTGAGCATCAACGTGTTTGCTCTTGATATTTTGCGACTGATTTGCAATTTTTTTTCCGCGAGGAATGCCGCTGTTTCCGGAGCGGTGGTGGGCTGAGAAGAGCGGATTAACCAAGATGCAAGTTTCATATCTTCGGTGAAATGGTTTCAAGATGTTAAAGACTCGTTGTTCAATCAGCTTGTTTACTGAAGTGCTTGCCACATTGCTGCTAAAAGGCCATGTCCATGCGGCGCAGAGGATGCGATGCAGGCGCAACATTTTCACAAACCGTGCGCTCTCCGACAGGGTTGGTCCAATGCCATGCAAGTTTGAGGCTGAGCCCATGCCTGCGATACATGGCCACGCCATCCGAAGATGGCTCCGTTTGCGTCCCGTCCTCAGCTTCGCCCCAATCAAAGCCGTGAAGCAGCCGTCACTCACGCCACCATGTTTTTCATTCGCCTAGGTGTACGATGTGCGCACGGGCAATGTACTCGGCACGAAGCATTGCCACAAGGCCAATTTCCCGTGTTTCCACTGTGCGCCCATGTCGCCTCAGACGTACCAGTACATACGAGAAGGACGCGGCAGTGGCTGTGGACCTCCATCCCCGCACTGGGGCCATGGCCAGTGGCGGCTTTGATGGCCAGGTGCCAGCGGAGCAGATTATTGGTTGCACAATCAATTGGTTTTTTTTCGTGCCAAATCAGAATATGTCTTGTTTGTGGCAAAGCTTTGCAGCCTGACTTGATCACATACTAACAGCTGCGTAAGTTATGCTAGGAAGTCTTTCGGACCGACGCGCAGCCATTTTTGGGTGTGGTACTCCGGAACCGCATGCTGTTATTCGACTCAGCAAATTCCTTAGCTCAGAACATCCCTGAGCACTTGTCGAATTCTGGGTGCTGAAAGATTGCTCCTAGTTTCGGCACCCGAGGTTCAAACAAAGTCGAAGCACACCGGGTCGAATTTCTGTGAAGCTCAGACCTCCATCGCCTCCACCTTGAAGCAAGCTCCAGAGCATGACCTTGAAGCCCCCCCTGGAGCCTAGGCCCTAGACCCCTGGCACAAAAGGCCAAAGAACAGCCCTGCCTGATCTGCCCGGCAGCTTTGCAAAGCTTTGCTACATGTACGGTAGATTTAGAATATGCGGGACAGACGCTGGGCCAGGTGCAGTTCTTCCGATCGCCAACATCCGGCGCAGGCCCTTACCATCCTGCCCCAACATGTTCCAAACGTATTTCTGAGAAGGGTGCTACTATGTGCTACTACACAACTACAAACGCGGCTCAAACGATGCATCTGTCATGCTGCGCTTGCGGGCCCAAGCTTTTGATTAGTGACTTGGTAATCTCCGGGACCTGCTCATCATTCGCAAATCGCTCAATGCCGGTGGCGATGCAGGAGTGCCAAGAATTCATCTGGATTGTTGTTGGGATGAGTGAGCGCGCGCGCGGGTGTGTGGGTGTGTGTGTGTGGTTGGTGTGTGTGTATGTGTGTGGTTGGTGTGTGTGGTTGGTGTGTGTGGTTGGTGTGTGTTGTTGGTGTGTGTTGTTGGTGTGTGTTGTTGGTGTGTGTGGTTGGTGTGTGTTGTTTATTCGTGTGTGTGTGTGTGTGAGTCTGTCTGTGTGTGTTTGTCTCTCTGTCTGCCTGTCTGTCCGTCCGTCTGTGTGTGGGTGAGTGCCTTCAGCCTACAAGCAAGAGCTGTCCGGAATTGAGCACTTGGCATGTGACGACCATGTCAAGGTACTTGTACCCGTAGCTTCATTGACCGGCCAGGAGGACGCCATGCCCCTCACAGGAGTGGAGGGTGACTACGTGGCCCCTGCTGCTCGAGACACATATTTCCAGAACGAGCCCAATCTCATCGCCCCCTTTGACTTTGATTATGTGCCTGGGATTGCATTGCTGTGCTTGCCGCTATGCTTGCTCAGCACGTTTGCCCCTTTAAGGGAGAACAGTCTGCTGGTTCGCTTTGAAGTTTCGAGTGTGCTATGTGATTCGTGCTGGTCCTTATTCAGATGGAACCACGATTTTCCAACAGTCTTGCCTTTAAGGACTTGATCGTTGACTTCACCACTAAGTTGAACCTCGGCAGCCAGAAGTATGAAAAAAAAACATCCAGATTCGTGCCTGACGCGACATGCGTCGCACTTTTGCGTCTTCAGCAAGTGACGTTGCAGGAGATGGGCGCAATTCTTTTTTACGCCTCCGTGCTGGGCAACATGTCTGTGCTGCTTGCCTTGCTTCCTTCAGCAAAATGTGGAGTGGGATACCCGAGCCATGGCTGCAAGGAGCACTTCGCAACCCTTTGTTCTGCCTTTTTCCGTGGTCACAGAAGAGAGGGCCACGGCATCGGGCCAAGGTTCTCAGCACATAGCATTGACCATCGACGGCATCCGGCATTTTGGCATGAACCGGATGATGGAAGCATTCAGTGATTTTGGGTGAGGGTTGTCGGTCCCATTTGTGGAACATCTATGCGAGCATGAGCTCAAGGCATTCTGCACCGAGTCGTTGCACTCATGTGTCATCTGAGCTCATGAGGTCAAGTACGGTCAAGTCATAACGTAGGTACCAACCGACGCCCCCCAAAAGGCATGCACAGCTTGATTGCATAGCATCCGCCGAAGGTATGTCAAGGAGAAGAGGAAGACGTGTTGCGGACTGCCCTGTACAGACAAGGGCCGGGAGAGCAAGACAGTCCCCTACGACAAGATTACGGATTGCGACGTACAGGATTTCAGTGTTTTTCGTTTGCCTTTCCTTCCAGGTGCCGTCAACGCATGTCATTGCGCATCCGGACTTTCATCGTGCAGTGCTCAACAATCCCTGCAGGAGCCTGCTGGCACGGCCTGCTGCTGCTGCATTGAGCGCCTCATACAAAAGCCTCCAGCAGTCTAGCAGACCCGTAAGCATGTTCTTCCTCAGCAGGGCTTTGCTGCGCCTTCCATTCTTGGACATGGACAGCCGGCAAGGAATGTGCTTTCCAAAGTCCACATTGACACGGCCTCCAGTGGCTCCAAAGGAGACGGAGTTGTGCTGTTCTGAGTCGCGGGGTCTCCAGTGATGGGCTGTGACCGGCTGTCCCCCAAGCTTGGTTCTGAAACTATCAGGCCTTTCACGAGCTTGAGCTGCATGGCTTGGTGGACGCACATGCATTCAAACATTCAGCCGCAAGCTTAGAAGTGCCAGGCACTCCGCAGACAGGGCGTCCAGAAAGTGAAAGGCTGACATGCAGAGCGCGCATGTTGCACTGCTGCAAAGCCGAGGTCTGGGCCATGAAAAGGCGATCAGCACCTGCTGGCGCGAGTGTGCCCATGGTTGCAGGGAGGCTTGGATTCAATGTCAGAACGGCTTGCGAACGAGTATCCAGCAAGTCCGCCACAACACTGGTTGCTGCGGATTGTTTGTCCACGCCTGTCGGGACAATCATTGGACAATCCAACGTCAGGAAACCCGGCAATGCGCCTCTTGGCTTTTGCTGTTGCACAAGAGTCGGACTCCTGTGACACCAGTTTTTGGTTACAGACCGCAGATCAAGGCCCGGTCAGCAGGAGATGCTCGAGGCCCTGCACGCCAAGGCCTCAGAAGGCATCACAGAAATGTAAAAAGTTCTCGGTTAAGAAAGGAAAGGTGAAAATGTTGCCCAACAGGGAGGTGCAATGTAAGCAGCATTGGCTGCACTGCTCATCTGACAATCGCCTTGAGCTGCGGCCCAAGCGCCTAGTTGCCACAGCTGAGGAGATCCGGGATGAGCTGAAGATTATGAATCAGATGCTTGCTTGCACTGGAGGTTTTACTGGGCTGGGCCAGTGAAGGACACGTGCGCGAAGACATCCAGAAATTGCCTGGCGTGCATCGTTGTCTCGGCAGCTCTGTGGCCTTTCAGGAAGATGGATCATCAGAAGGCGCAAAGCTGAAGAGGAGGACCTCATTCATCGGGTCGGTGTAATCCTGGACCTTACATGGCAGAATAAACTTCGCAAGACATGGTACTTCAGCACCCCAAGTTATTCCAGGCCGTGCCGCCTGACTGCTTGGGTCGGGCAAGTCAAGGCCGCCTGCCAAGTTTGCTCGGCAGAAGATGGCAGACGGCAGGATTTTGTGATGTGCACTTGCGCCGCATCCCGAGGTACACTCCAGCAGGCTTGCTGATGTACTGAACGGAAAGTTCGGGCCAGCAACTGTACACAATGAGCTTCCTCAACAAACGCTTTGCCTTGGGCAATGAAGTGTCCGTGTCCCGGATGAACTTGATCTTTGCTACCGTTTGATAGTGGACACTTGTCTGTAGACATTTCAAAGTGACGACAGTCCAAGTCGTCATTTGCAATCCCTTTATCGAACGTGGCCATGTTGTACAGCTTTGCCAGCGACGTGGAGTTCCTTAAAAACCTTGTTTGCAAGGTGATCCCATCCTTTCCACAAGCCTTTTTCAAATCTCCAGATGACGCTTCGCGCCTGCGGTCTACGCATAAACTGCATGAGCAAGAATCGGAAATCCAAGGTTGTTAGACGTGGAAAGAAGCTGATCCTGAAGACGTGGCAAGTCATGCTGCGATCGAAAAGTTGAACCCTGCGTGACAAAAGCCCTGTTGTGCGTTGGAGCAAGATGAGGTCAATGTCTCTATGTACGACAAGTCGAGATCGGAACTGCTTGCAAGCTCGATGAAGGGCAGCAAGATGCAGTGAGCACGTAGTTCAGCACCTTGCTCTGTTCGCAAATGTGTGCAAAGACTGTAAAAATGCCGGACACGTTCGCAGGCCGGCCTCCAGGCGCAAGATGTTGCATTGGCCATGACGCGGTTTCATGTTTGCAGCTGTTGAGTTAGCAGCATTTGTAAGTGGTGCCGCTGTTGGTGGCGGTGGCGAACAACCACCGCACTTTCCAACATTTTCCAACAGACAGCACATACCATGCCGCCTCACTCCAGGTGGTGGTGGCGGCATGCGGTCAGACCGGCTTCGCCAAAGCCCCGGCCGGAGAGTCAATTGGGTGCTTGATCAGGAATGGAACAAAGCCCGGTGTACACTTCGAGTCTCACTGGTGAAGTTAAGTCGGTTATGCTCCATGAAATCGAGGTTAACATCGAGCATTCCATCTGAGTTTCCTGGTTTGCACGTGGGCTTCCGCCAGGTGAGGCTGCTTCTGGCCTTCGCGAAGTTGAGCGGTGACCTCAGATGCCGCTTGAGAGTTGCAGCCGACAGATCATGACAGTGTCATGGCTTAGATTTGGAAGGATGGAGCTGCCACTTTGACGCGTGATGCCTTGAGGATCGCTTCGTGACATGTGGGCCAATGCACACTGCGTAATCTGTGTCTACCCCAAACAGCTTCCTTTTTTTCCCAGTGGTGCCCACTCGGTTGGTAGCCTGCATAGCCGTTTGCTAGCCGTTTGCCCTGGCGGTTTCACACTTGGGCAATTGGGCAAACTGCCCCGGACCATCTCGGACCAAAGCTTTTACTTTTGCAGCAAGTCAGTAAATGTCAGTAAGACCTGTCTCTGTGTCCTGCACTGGCCCAGCACAGTGAACGTTCGATGCCCACGTGCACCCGTGCACTCAGGGAGGATGCCTTTTTGACTCGATTGTCGCTGCCGTTCTTTCAGGTCTTTCTGATCACCACCAAGCTTGAAAAATATCACCATGCATATTCCGATATTCCTGTCCCTTCGAAGCCAAATCGAACCTGCAAACAAAGATCCACATGCAATTCGGCGCGGGCCGTCTCTGCGAGTACTTACATGTATGTAAACCAGACACATCTTGATGTAGCCATGGTGGCCTTGAGTAAATATGGTCAGCCAAATGTGCTGGCCCTTGCCCAGCTGCCGTTTCCTCCAGCTCGCCGACACTCGCAGGCAGATGATTGCATCACTGACTGCACTGGGACAAGGCGAAAAACATAAAGGTCTTTGTTGAATCACTCGTGGCCCTCAACGCAGGTGAGCAAAGGCACTGGCATCCGGGCAGTCGTCGCCCTGGCGGCCGGTGCGGCCGGTGCGGCCGGGGCGGCAGCGGCACCACCGCGGCGGCGCCGAGGCCGAACCTTGGATGCATTGGATATCATTGAATATGCATTGGAATGTTGCACGGCAAGCTGCATTGGGCGGCAAGTGCAAGAACTGGGCAAGTGCAATGGGCAACTGCTTCGGCATCAAAAACCCGCAGGTCGAGAGCCGCTTCACTATGCAGAGGCGGTTGCATTGGACCCGTCACTTTCTGCACTTGTGGAGCGGGATTGAGATTTTGGCACTGTTGATCGCCGACGTGCACTGTGAGTATTGCCTAGGGTTTGGGCAGTGCAGACGTTGCATCTGGTACCTGCCGCAGGCACTGGAGCTGACACGGGACAGACCGAAGCGCTGCCCCATTTGCGCAGTAAAGGTGCTGAAGAGGCTGGCAAGCCTGATTCGTCGATGGGTGGTTTAAACTTATGCAAGATTGCATTCACTACGCCAAGCTACTTGCACTCGCTGCTCATGGATTATTGCCTGACCGACAGACAACCAAACACGTACAGCGAATATAAAAGGCTCGAACGGAACCTTGTAGAATCTTCATGCAAAGTTACTCTACCACGAGCGGTTCCGGGGCTCCGAGTAATGCCAGGTAGCGCCTCACATTCGAACAGTGTGCGCATCGTGCCATACAATTGAGGCGTTTGAAACAATTGAAGTCGTTTTGTGTGCATGTCCAAGTGCCTGTGATGGATGACTTGTGCTTGTGATTTCACGACCTTTTTAAGTTTGCATCAGCCGGGGCGTTGCATGCTTTAAAAATTCGGCAAAATTTTGGAAGTCCAAGAAATGACACATTTTGTGCCGTGTGTGTGTGTGTAGCCTTCAGCCAACACTAGTGCAATGGCAGTTGCTCAGCATAAGTAACACAGGCATCTCAGTATGGCGTCACATTATGACATGCGCACGTCGCACTCGGGTGCCACAGTCCAGTTTCTAGCATGTTATATTCTACTTGGGGACTGGGACTTGTTAACCAATCATCACTTCGTCTAGAAGAATTCTGTTCGTCCGGGTGTTCACTATAAGACTTGCAAATCATGAATCTCATATTTAGGTTTTATTATTATCTTTTCGCTCATGCATTTCGAAGAACAGTCAAAGAGAGCGAAGTGATTAAGCGCGCGAATGCCATAATAGCAGCGAATGCAATAATAACAATAATGATAAGCACACAATCCTGCGTTCTCGTGTAAAAAGATGTATGAAAACATGAAATAGAAATTGATCAGCACTTTTGTTATTCGCGCAAGATGCCGTATGAAAGTAAAAATAAGTTCAATAAATCCAGATAGAAACAGAATTAAGATAGTACAAGGAAAAAAGAACTTCAACTTCTGCACATGAAGGAAAAGGACTTCTTAAACAATGTACATTCTAAGGCCAAAGTAAACCATGTGATCAAAGGGTAAAAGACAGACAAGATAAACAGAATGAAGAAAAAGAGCAAGAAACAAACCTGGGTGAACCCGTCAATCTATACGCCCCACAGCACCTTTCAGCTTGAAGGCCGAAATTCCTCTCCCTGGCAGATGTCTACAAGCCCTGGACGTCAATGGCCACCGAGGAGGACTGAGCACAGATTCTGCGAAGCTTGGGCACTTCCACCTTCATTGCGTTGACATTGCGTTGACCTGTAGGACTCTTCCTGCCTCAGCGGTTTTGTCGCTGCATTTCTGCGCGATCGACCACGGCAATGGGCCGCACTCTTGAGGTAAGGTTTGCCAGCGTGTAGCAGCAGAGGCAGAAGGATCTGCGCCTTCTGAATCGACAACTCTGTTCACTAGCGATTTTCCTCGGGTTGCACCATGTTGCACCAAGATTCGCCAGGCCGGAGTACCATACATGGCATTCGAGCACGAAAAGATTTCACAAGGAGAGTCTCAAGGTGTGAGTGGTCGCATTTCAGGCAACACATCAATCGGATGAGCAGGGTCTTGAGGCGGCACCCGTTTCTACGATCCAGGGCCTTTCGAGGGTTGCGAAGAAGCAGAGACTTGATGGTCTAGCAAGGGCGCTGTCATCCCAACTTAGCATTGGACACTTGCCGCGCTAAACCGATCTTTAGCGGTTTATGCAAGCGCCTGATCGGGTTAGGGAGATCGTGCGAGTCGGTCGAATGGAGTGGCTGAGCTCAATTTCTAGTGTGTTCAGTGTTGCCGTTGTTGAAACTTACAAAATGCACCTGACGCTTACAGCGTGGTAGCGTACCTCTGCCCGGAACAATGGAAGTCCACAGATAGTCACCATGCAGAGTTCATCTCAGCGATTCTACGCGATTCTTTGTGAGTTTGCTGCAAAGACCACCCCTTCACATCCAAAGATCAGCATCCGATTCTGCAAGGTTCTGCTGGTCCAAAGTCGATTCTGCATTCAAATTTTGACTCCCCCCCACCCTTAATCAGTTGCTCGTTCTGCAGGTGTCCTTCCAAGTTGGGGGAATGGGGGGAGAGGAGCTTTCGGAGTCCCTGGCGCTGCTGGCTGCATTTGCAACTTTTGCAAGCGCGGGGAGCTCTCTGGACTCCTGGATCTCCTGGCACGCGCTGGACCTTTGCTGTGGGAAGCCAGGAGTCCCAAGCGTTCACTTGTGGGAGAGCAGCAAGGTTGCTTTGAGTGATTTGAGTAATGTGTTTTCTTTCTTTTTTTTTGACGGCGCTTTTCTTTGCGTTGAGGTCTTTGACCTCCGCCTTGCTCGCCCTGGAAGAAGCCCCCCCGGAGGCAATCACAGCCGGAGCCCTGGAATTTGCGAGCAGTTTCAAAAAGTCGGCAGTTTGATTACAGCATGAATGAGTAGTCTAGCAAAAAAGGATCCAAATTGAGACATTTGAGACCGACTGTGGTTTTGGCTCAAGCCCTCCAATGTTTGCCAGGTTGCTTGACGTCGATGAGAGTGCATGGTGCTGCGCAAGCTTCAGGCGTATTGCAAAACAAGCAGCGACCAGGAACTGGAAGATGCCGCACACTCGTTCTTGGGTCTCGACATGAACCTCATCTCCCACAAGTTCAGAGCGACTGGTGGAGGCAGAAGCAGATCAACCGCTGGTCTGCCGTCAGAGCCGCCAGCAGGTATCCGGATAGGAATCATTGAAAAGTGTGTGCATGGTCATTTGGGTATTCTAGGGGTTCTAGGGGTCACTTGAGCCATCCAAAGCCAAGGTCCTCAAACCGTTCCTGAGAGAAGCACATCGAAGATGAATGCCCGCGACTTGCTGTCATACGCGAAGAACAATCCCTCAGAGTTCAATATCCCATTGATGAACAGGAACAGGAGCGTCAGCCAACCTGTAGAGGTCTTCATGAAGGAGCCGGATGATGACCGACAGTCCGACAAGATCAGAAGCCGATCCTGGTCCACAAACACCGCTGGGCGGCAAAGCTTCAACAAAATTCCATCGTCGGCAACCAAACAGTCCTCTGTCAAAAGCTTTTCACAATTTCTTGAGTCGTCGCTGCGCTTGGGAAGGCAGCAGAGTTGTATAGTTTCGTTGTAGCTGAAGAGGCAGCAGCATGACTTGAAGCCCGATTGGCCAACTGCGGTCACAAGGGCTCTAAACTGTCCAGCTCCAGTCCAACATTTTTCGAGCCTCGCTTTCGCAATAGGGGCTCGATGATGAAGAATCCCCGCCCTGAGTCCAATCATCTTACCACATGTTACCACCAAGAATCGTCACCTTTCATCATGTTGGCAAGAGATTGGTTCCATCGCTCTGCCGTGTCGTCGCTCGTAGCACAGCGCTTGCGCAAAATTTTTTATGGCTAGCAGCCATCGCTATGCTCCAGGAAATGAGCCAGTTCACAACATTCATTCGGCACGATGCTACTGCTGCGCCAGCTGTGTGTGTAAAGAGATCATGCTTGCAGAAACGGGCTCATGTCCGCTTCGCGAATCCGTGCCCCAGGAAATTCAGAAAAGGCTCACGGACGCGCAGCGGTTCACCATAACATGACTATTGAAGCCTTCAAAAGGCAACAAAAGATTGAGGCCAAGGAACCAAGAACTCCGAGACATCGGGGTCGGCGTTCCTATTTACCCCTCAGTCTTCGAATCTTCTTCTGGAAAATTCTGGAAAATCTTAAAGTTTGAGGTTTGAGTGGGCAGCAGCATTTTCCGAGCTTGCAGGCTGCTCTTCAGAGAATGTCGGGTGAGGAGTATTCTGTTTGTATGATCTTGTTGTATGTATTCTGTGGATGTTCTTGGTACTTGCAAAAGTGGAAAGCGAAAGACTCGCAGTTGTGGATCCTGCCGCAAAGAGCGTGAACTACCACAAATGGCGACGGTGGGTTTCAAGACACTCACAGCGTGCTCCAAAAGACTGTGCTTCATGGCCTGCTGCATGTATGCATGTATGCAACCTTCTTTTGCAGATTGATCTTTGTCATTGTCTGTCCATGGCTCGCACTTTGCCCGGCTTTGCGGAGGCGGTGGATCTGCGACCGCCGGATGGGCGCCTTACCCAACAGACTTGTCACGACGCTGGCTTTGCTCCCAACATGGCTGCCATGGCTGTATGACTCCAGGCTTCCTCACCATGAGCTGGCGCTGCAACGCGCGCTGCAGGCACAGAAGGTGCTCCCCCCATTGTGTCCTGCATCCTGCTCTCCATTTTTCAGTTGTGCTGGGCAGAGTGGCCACGGTTGCACAATGTGTGGGCGCTAAACAAATAATATGTGTACATACGCTGCAACCACGCAAGTACGGCTCAAAAAGTCCTTCTGATCGGTGCCACACTGGCGCAGCATGGCATCCTCCTCGTCTTAATCCGAGGAGCCATCTTCCTCGCGCTCTTCCTTCCCATACCACCTCCACCACCACTGTCACTTCATGCTCTTACATGCTCTTACTATATCCTCCGACCTTCAAGGCTCCTGCTATTGTTGTGACGACCATTTGCTACGACAGCTACTTCGACTTCTTTTATCCTAAGTGGACGATCCTGGCATCAGAGCATCCGTGGCATCATCGCCGATACGTTGCACCCATTTGGGAGGACGTGTAGGCAAAGCCTCGCAATTTGAACAACGAATGTTTCTTGTTTCGTAGGCTTCGAAGCTGTTGCTGGTACATAGCGACTTTCGAGTTCAGAAGCATTAAATGGCATTAAATCTACGCCAGTGAGCGGGCGGGGTGTCTTTCCTACCAGCAAGAGCTTCGAGGTTTCGGAGGCCGCGGAGGATCAAAGAAGGCTGGAGAAGCCGTTTCACGTGTGACTCCTCCACATCATTGGTCCGGAAGCATGGGTGCTCGAACCAGTACAGTCATCAGGTTGCGCCCGAACTATACAGCCAGAACGATTCTCCTGCAGTGCCACCGCTTGCCAGGGCCGCGCGTACGCAAAGGTGCCAGTGGAGTACTGGAGGCGGCTTTGCTGTGTGCTGATTGTGCTTGCCGACATGGGGCAGATATACAAGAACAAAAAACTGCACAATGAACAGTTTCAATTAGGCGCGATATGGCACGGTGCAACGGCAACTCCGTGTGTGTGTGTGCAGGTGCACCAGCCACGACAGTCCGACGCATGTCAGACAGGCGGCGAAAAGCGCACACGCACACGTGCACGCACAAGCACATGCAGACGCACACACGCACACACACACGCACACACACACACACACACACAGAGACACACACACACACACACCCACACCCACACCCACACCCACACCCACACCCACACCCACACCCCCACCCACGCACGCACGCACGCACGCACGCACGCACGCACGCACGCACGCACGCGCACGCGCGCGCGCGCGCGCGCGCGCGCACGCGCGCACCCACGCACGCACGCACGCACGCACGCGCGCGCACACGCACACACGCACACACGCACACACACGCACACACGCACACGCACACACGCACACGCACACACGCACACGCACACACGCACACGCACACACGCGCACACGCACACACGCATTCGCGCACACATGCGCCGCACAAACACACGAGGACACAAGCAGGTAATAAACTTCGAAAGCCAAATTCGTGGTCAGTAGCAACCTGCAACAGTTTGATGGTAAGACATGATAAGACACATGGGGGGGGAGGCCTAAAGTCGAGGCATGTTGATGCCAATGGTGTTTGCTCGCATGGGGCACATCCTTGAAGGTCTGATGTCCTCGAGGATGATTTCGTTTCATCACTGGCTCGGCGCGTCGAAGCCATAGGAAGGCACCCCTTGATGGGCAGAAAGATATGCGCAGTGTTGAATGGCAACATGAGGCACAGGAACAGAGCTCTTGGCATTGGAAGTTTGAGCCAAGCTGTGCACAGCGAGTAGACAAGCAGCACGGACGTACTGCAGGGATGCACTGAGGTGGGATTAGCAGAAAAGGCTGTCACGAAACGTCACACTGCTGTTGAGTCGTCCCATGAAGCGTGTCGTTCTTGATTCAGTCTCATATGTTCGACAGTGGTTTGCCGGGGCCGGGGCAGCTCTGGTTGTCATGATGGTGTCCACCACCAGAAGCATGTCTGTGAATTCTGTGAGAAAACGCGTTAAGCAGGATGGAAAACAGCAATTCGTCGGGGGATGTCGGGGGATTATGTTTTCTGTCAGAGCTCAGTGTCAAAGAGTTGTGACGTTCAAATTAGATTCGTTTCCCCAGCTTCTGCTGCGATAGCCATCTATAGCCGTACATGGTCTTATATAGTCGCCGGCTGTAATTTGTCATTCAATTAGTTCTCGGCCTCTGGGGCAGGCCAACCGCAATCCTGGCCATGCACCTCTGTGGTCGCTTGCGCCTCCGGCCTGAATTATGTACTTTGTGTTGGTGATTGTCCGCGAACCTTCAAACGATGCATTCTGAGGGGCTGTGGTTTGCATTGAGGGACTACTCCAGAAAGCAGTCCCTCGTCCTCCCCCATCTAGCCGCCTTGACAAGAAATTCTTCCTGCGTTCCCTGAAGTCTTCAAGGGGGACACATGCAGCCATGTGGTTAGAAAAGCATAGGGCGCTTGGCACGATCACAATGTTTCCAATCATGACCGCATCAAGTGCTTTGCGCTCCCTCTGTCGAAATCTATTCTCCAGTGTTGGGCTGACAGGAGCCTGCAGGCCATCAATGCCTTCGCCAGCATCGACTTAGTGCGGCGGTGGCCCCAATGAATCTCAACTAGGTGAGAAGTTTTGAATGTAAATTACAACCTCAAGAGCAAAAGGCTATACATGCCACATCATGCTATGACAGTGTCGGGAAGAATGTATGGTTCTGCCTTCCGGCCAAGCAATTTAAGGGTCCTGGCTGCCCCAGCTCCGACGGGAATGGACAAAGCCGGCTGTTGAGACAAATGTCTGAGAGAGAAAGAGAACCGACTGACCCACTGGAGCACGCCCGAGAGGGCGACCTCCCCTCGGGGGGGTTGAGTGCGGAGGAAGGAAGGAAGGAAGGAAGGAAGAGAGAGCCAGAGAGAGACCTTTTAAGCATCGGCGTCACAACAAACCGCAAACCGAACTTTCCCGGGGGCGCCCAGCTTGCGAGGGCTAGGGTTATCTTCCCTAGCCCCTCAGGCCCCGAAGAAGAAGAATATGACGAAGAAGAGAGCGAGAGAGAGGAAGAGATGGTAACCCGCCTTTCACCCCAAGACAGAGCAGCGGGCCAGCGCGGCCGGGGTCCTATTCGGGGGGCCTCTTCGCTAGGTAGTAGAAGAAGAAGAAGAAAGAGAGAGAGAGAGAGAGCGAGAGAGAGAGAGATGGAAGAGGGTTAAGTGCGCAGAAAGAACGAAAGAAAGAAAGAAAAGAACGTCAGAGAAAGAGAGGGAGAGCGAGAGGACCAGATCGTCAAGAGGTGAGTCGCGTCCAGAGATGCCTTCGGCAAGAGTGTTTTGCAGTTTTATGGGGCAAGTTCTATGGGGCAGTTCCGTGTGGGGGAATTGTTCGGGGCGGATTACTTTCAACACCTGAGCAATCGAAATTTTCCTCTCTATGCACCGTGTTCAGGTGCTGCATACTGGGGCCTTGCTGCCTTCCGCATTCGAGCGAGGCACCGGAGGACTTCATTTCGGGATTCTCTCGCTTTTGCCCATTCCTCTAGTCACTAGTCTGACAGTGCTCCTTTGCCCTGCCATCCCTTCAAACAACGACCCCCATTATCCAAGAAGATCCTTTTAAAGGACAGACTGTGCAACAATCCAGCCTTTGTCTGCGAAGCAGGAACTCAAGAACTTGTATGGAGTTGGCATGTCCGACGAGGATCAGTTCGATGCTTGGGCATGCTACTTACACGATCGGTGGTTGCTTTGCTTGGCTTGTTGTTTGTATTCGCTGACCTGCAGCGGTACCTTATATGGCAGCGCAGCTTTTAGGTAGCATGGGTGATCAGATAGTGCAGATAGTGTGTTAGAGGGGTCGGAGTTGCTTCAGGCGGCGCACTTGGAGCAGCAGCTACGACTCGTTCCTGGAGTGAGCGTGACGAGGAACCAGCCCGGTCACACAGGGCATACAAGTTAGTTGGTCATGTCAAGACACTTCTTTGAGCTTCGATTGCTGCATCACACAGTCAGGGCTAGATGGTCAATCTGGGGCACGTTGCAACCATGCTGCCATCCTCGCACCAAAGCTAAGCTGTTCCAGATGCAACCAGGACGCAGCTATTTCTGGCCAGTAGTCTGGCAATCATGCCGTAGTCAGGTGACAGCTTCAGGATGAGCGATGCACGAGCTAGCTGATAGAGCATTGCGAGTAGTTGTGACTGCACCTTGAGCCTCCTACGCTTTGCAAGAAAGAACATGGGTGGCCATGTCATGCGCCTGTGCTTCATCGCCGCAGCTGGTTTCCAGGCCCGGGGAAGCTGCACAATAGTATGGGAAGGCAACGTACACACACACACACACGACATATGTATATATATATATATATGTACATTTGCATGGTTTCTCTTTTCCTTGTTCGGTATGGAATTGCAAACGGAGTACGGGCCTGCAGCACCCGCTGAAAATCATCAAGTCACCTTCTGCTCCCGGAGCATCAGCACCGGGTCCTAGGCACCTTGTTCGCACCCTGCATCTGCAAAACGCGCAAATTGTTGCCTAGGCCGCGGGCCACTCAGAAGAGCCGCTGCCCGACATTTGGTATGAAGCCTTGAGAGCCTCGAGGCAGTGAGTGACACAAACGAGACGAAGAGAATCTAAACTTGCATGGGGCTCAACGCTGGTGTGCTTCGTTACTAGCATCTCATTGAATTTCATTCTAGCGCTTTTAGCTAGCAAAAAGACCGTCCGCAGCAAATTTCAGCTCAGCGATACCTGACTTCCCCTGCTCCTCTGTGCTTCAACAATGGCGAAGGCCGCTGCATGATCTCTTGCTTGCTTAGCTCGTGGCATGGACATGGATGCAAGGAGCACTGTGTCAAGCCAGTCCATCAGCCAGCGGAATGTCACATAATCGCTTCCCCCTTGTATTCAACATACCCCTAATTATAAATACACTTTCCGGAAAATCCTGCCGAAACCGACCCCGCCTTTTTAAACCCTATTCCGAACTTGGGGGGGGGGGGGTTCAGGGCCTCAAAAACCTTCAAGCCAGTCTAAACCCTGTCCCAAACATGAGAACATCCCCCTAATAATTATTGAAAACACATTTCGAGTTCTTGGGGGGGGGGGGGGGGGGCGCCTTTTTCATAATAGGGCATGGATTAATGTAATGATTGACGACAGCCAGCTACTATTCAGTGTTGTGGAATCGTGAAGGCTGTCTTGGACGCGCTGAAGGCCACCGGCGCAGCAGATCTCTCTGCGGCAAGGCTGCATCACGAAGTAGTGTAAAAGCAATGTCCGTAGAGAAGCTGGGAGTGGCTGAGGCGACACACTAATTCATCATATATTACCAAAAATTCTCTAAGCCGACGTCATGCTATTGCTCTCCTCTTTCGTACAGCCTCTGCATCGGCATCTTGTGGGCTGGATCAAGGCTGCAATCGAAGCTGTGTCTGCAAGCATGTTCAAGATCAAGGACTTGGCCTGAGGGTGAGGGTTTCGCCTATGTTCGCTTCCATTTGCTTCTTTTTGCCTCCTTGGGCGACAGGCTTAAAGTGGAAACGGTGTAAACGGAAACCAGGTCATGTGCTGATGCTTAACCTAGCAAGTTTCCGTGCCTCACAACACACGTAAAGAAAGTTTGTTACTCTGTCATGGTTTGGGGATTGGGGTCGGGCATGTTAGTCTTGATGTTGGACTCTTTCGCGCTGTCGTTTCAACCCGAAAAGGTGCCCATAAGCAGTTCCTGCGCGCTAGAGGTCCTGTTGCTGATTGCCTGTAAAATCTCGACAGGAACTCAAGGGTCGCGAGATTTTGGACAGCCGTGGCAATCCCACAGTGGAGGTCTGGTGTGGCAGCTTGCACCCATGTTTTGAGTTTGCAGCCCTCGCTGTCTTTGTCACAAGGCACATGCTAGGATTCGCCAGTTTCCAGTGCAGTACCAGCAGGGAGTACTAGTAAGCAGTAAACAAAAGCTGACAGGTGGATCTCGTCACAGAGGGTGGTGTCACAGTCACCGCTGCAGTGCCAAGCGGTGCCTCCACGGGTGTGCACGAGGCACCTCATGGCATCCCGCGGCACCCTGCCTAAGACTTCAAGGCTTTGGTTACCGTCGTTCCAGGCCTGCGAACTGCGAGATGGAGACAAGGGCCGCTACCTGGGCAAAGGCGTTCTTTGGCTTTGCCAAGGGCGTGGTCCCATTTCATTGTATTTGACTTTCTCTACTATTTCCTGCGTGCAGTTGTGAGGATGAGTTAGTAGAGGCAAATTGAGGCGCAAAGGCTGCCGAAGTTGGAAAGATCACGTGTCGGAAGCTGCTGTCAAGGTTCTGAAGGCTGTCGAGTCTGTGAACACCGTCCTGAACGCATCCCTGAAGGCCAGGTTGCTTTCGCAGTGCACCGATTCCAGCTCGCTAAACTCCCTGTGCATTTGCAGGGCTTTGACGTGTCCAAGCAAAAGGAGCTTGATGACAAGATGATCGAGCTTCTTAGTTGTCTATGCACAGAAATGTCGTGGCAGGTTCGGAAAGTCACTCGAGATTGGCCAGCGGGCCTCATTGCCATAAGCTGCGTGGGTGGGATCCCTTGGCCAATCCGCACCTGAGGCTCGATGGTACTCCCAACAAGAGCAAGCTTGGCGCCAACGCCATCCTTGGTGTCTCGATGGCCGCGGCCAAGGCTGACTCCCCAGAGCTTTCGGTCTTTGATGTCTTTAGTATGTTTAGTTGAGTTTAGCCAAACAGTGTCCCAGTGTTCCATCTTGCGCCAGGCGGCCGCTGTTGCAAAGGGCATTCCTCTGCGCCTCGACAGCTGTATGTGATAGCTATGATAACAGACGCCGGTGGAACAGAATCACGCAGCTTGTTCTTCATTTCCCGTCCGGACATGCAAAAAACCATCTGAGTACACAACTGCTGACAAAGGCATCCATGTTTTTGGTGCTTTTTTAAAATTGCAAAGAATGTTCTTCGGTTCGAGATACAGCATTGCTAGAAGCCGGGTACACCAGCTCACAGTTTGGCAGCCACTAGCACGCAGAAGACGCCAGGCGAGGCGGCAAAAGCTTAGCAAGCCAGCTCGCCCTGGTTGAGGTACCAGCACTTTGCCGACCTTGCTGGCAACACTCAGAAGCTCACGCTGCCGGTGCCATGCTTCAACGTCATCAACGGTGGCTCTCATGCTGGCAACTTGGGATATTAGTTTGTTCAGAGATGTTCAGAGCATAAGGGTCAGCTGTTCGAGCCAGCATCCACACGGCCACGGCTTGCAGGCAACAAGCTCGCTTTCCAGGAGCCTCGCGGCAGATCTGGTCGTTCGAAGATTCCTGGGGGTGCTGAGTTGTCGACAGATGTGCGAGTTTGCCACTGCCCATCTAGACAGCAGGTGGGACGGTTCAGAGCTTTGTTAGCTGCTTCAAAGGTACTTCATCATTCCCGTGGGCGCATCCTCCTTCAAGGATGCCATGCGAATCGGTGCGGAATGCTACCACACCCTGAAGGGCATCATCAAGAAGAAGCAGTTTGTCTTCAATATGGAATGCTCTTTGTGTGGTTTTTGCCCAGAGGGGGCTCGTCTGTCGTTACCAGGTTCGGTGGTGATGCCACCCTTATCGGTGACGAAGGCCTCAACGGCATGGTTTTGCCAATGCCTGTTCTTGCGCCCCAAGCCTCCGCGAGAGCGTCCGTGTGCCATGTGTCGCTAAAACGAGCCATTCCTGGGGAGCACCCCGCTTTTCCAGCTGCTTGCGCGACTCTTGCAAGTTTGACAGGCACTGGTTGAATGAATGCACCATGCCATGTACGATAAACTCTGCAGTGCAGGTGGCTTTGCCCCTCCCTGCGATGCGAAGCAGGGTGTGGAGTTGATCATGGAAGCCATCGAGTGGCTGAGCTGCATTCCGAGGCACAACTAACCGAACTAACCTTTGCTGTTGGGTTGGGTTTTGAGGGCCTAGATGGCAGAGGATGACCCGATGTTTTAAGGAAAGCCGGTTACAAGGACAAGTGCAAGATCGGCATGGATGTAGCAGCCTCGGAGTTCAAGCAGGAGCCGACCTTCTGAGCGCATCTGCCAGCGGAGTGTTAAATATTCTTTGGCAGGGGGTCGGAAGGGTTTGGGCTTCTTACGGCATTGCGGCATGTGGCGTTCCATATCATGTTCAGTATTCTTGGGCCCTGGGATCCCTGGGCTAGGCGTGCGGACGAAATGTTGTCGGGAGAGCACACAGGTCGCCATGATCTAGTGGGCGACAATGGGCGACAATCACGTGGCAAAAGCAAGTGTTTGCCGACCTTTGCCCACTCTATTTACCTTGCAAGGAGGGCGCAGACTGCTACGACCTTGGCACTTGGTATGCAGCTGCCTGTCTGCGAAATTGGTCAAAGCACCTTCGCACACAGATTCTCGGTTAGTGTATCTGCCGGTGTCAGGCACAGAGATTAAGAGCATTGAAGAGTTGAGGAAGCCGAGAAGACCCCGGAACTGAAGATGTCTGGCACACAGTTGGCCGATTTCTACGCGGACCTTTGCACAAACTACCCGCTCATCACCATCGAGGATCCCTTTGACCAGGCCTTGCGTGCATGCTTTGCTTTGCCGGTGTTTGCCAGCGTCTGGACGAGTACTAGGTACCGTGCCCTCTCACCCGCCAATAACCACCTTCCATGCGTGTGACGGCTTGTGTTGACTGAAAGGATTCGCCCCAAATTCCCTCGGATCATACCGTGTGTGTCAGGATGACTGGGCTGCCTGGACCAGCTTCACTGCCAAGGTTGGCGGGCCGACTCAGGTTGCCACATGGCATCATTCAGCACATAGCACAGCTCCAGTTGTTTAGCAGTAGCTCCGTGGCAGTTGGAGGGTTCCTGGTCCTATGTGCCTGGACAGGCTACATCACTGCAGCATGCCACAGATCTCACAAATGCCAACAGCCGTTGGTGTTGCTGAGGTCGGAGATGACCTGACTGTGACGAACGTCTCTCGTGTGAAGAAGGCCATTGATGACAAGGCCTGCAATGCGTTCCTTGGACAGGAGAAAATAAGCAAGCCTCATGGACTACTGATGTTGCTAAATCAGATGTAACCTTGCGCGTTGTGTTTTATGGTTTCTGCCTCGGCTCGCTACGTCTAGCTACCTGAGGCTTCTGCTGAAGGTCAATCAGATCGGAACGGTTTCTGAGTCTATCGAGGCCAGCTGCACTGCAGCCCAATTTTGCTGTGCCTAATGATAGCATCACAGTGATCTGCAGAGCCGCCCTGACTAAGGCAGTGAAGCTGTGCAAGACCAACGGCTGGGGTGTCATGTGCCTGACTAAGATGAGCTGTCTTTGGAGTGACTACAGTGTATACAAACAAACAGCAAGCAAAGTCAACCCAACTTGCGTCCACAGGTGCTCCCACCGCTCTGGCGAGACCGAGGACACCACCATCGCAGACTTGGCCGTCGGCCTTTGCACTGGCCAGACTCTTGAATGTAAGATGTGCCGCAATACGGAAGGTTCGGCGAACATGCGAGAGCTGCAAATCCACAATTTGTTTCGAACACCCCCATCCTAGAACTTTCAAAGCTTGATGGGCACTGAAGGCAGATTGAAGGGATGAGGCGAACGGTATTCCAAGGCAGCTCTCCAGAGTCTCCAAAATGTTTTTGCCGGGCTTTCTGGGGATTAGCACGGGTCAGCACTCCAGAGACACTGGCGAGATTCTCTGTATCATTTTCGCTCTCTGGGGTGGATACTCTGCTCGATTTCCTCAGGCTGGACACTCCAGGGAAACTTCAGGGGATTCTCTGGGGGCACTCCGGGAGTACTTTGCAGGATTCTCTGCTCTGCAAGGAAGATTGCTGCGGTACACTCTAACAACCCCACAGCCAGTCTTTGCAAATACGGCAAAGTATGGCGCTGGCAACGGCTTTCTTCCTAAGTGCAGAAATTTTGTGGGACCAGGTTCGCAGGTTCATGACTCGTTCACATTATGTTTAGGGCATCGGCAGAGGTTTTCTTCTGCGTAGGTTTGCGTGGTGAAAAACGATACTTAAGACATTGTTGGATTCCCTTCTTAGGCTTGGGTCAAGACGGCACGTTTATGCACATTTGTGGAGAGCGTGCCGGTAAGCTGGACCCCCCCGCACAGCGCGCTTGCACGGCTTGAGTTCATCTTCAGGTCTTGTGTTCGCAGCTTATGTATGAAGCACTGATGTAAGATACTCGTGAGGTCCCACTAAATCCACAGTAGCTCTATACAGATCATTGAATTTCATGCTGAGTGCCTTGTAATTCAAGGATCAAGACCGGTGCCCCATGCCGATCTGACCGAAATGCCAAGTGTCCTGGCACAACATGAACCGATGCCCATTTCAGAGTCCACTGCGTGCAAGCATCCCGATGACATCAAGCATCCCATGATTCGGGCATCTCGTAGTAGACAGAAATCTGTGATGGTTCCCTGTTCAAGGTACAACCAGCTCATGCGCATTGAGGAGGAACTGGGTGACAAGTGCGCCTACGCAGGTGAGTCGTGGCGAAAGCCGGTTTGGATGGCATAATCATGCCAGAACTTTTTCAGAGCAAGCTCGGAGAGCAAGCTCGGACAGCAAGCTCGGGTAGCAAGCTCGATTTCATGATTGATTTCGTGGCGACATCCAACCTTTTGTGGTCCGAGGGCTGCTCCTTTCTGTGAGGGGCACCTTTTCCCGCAAGCTCCTTGCCTGCCCTTGGCAGCCTTTGGGCCATCACTCCATCGTGCCATCATCCTCGAAAAAAGCGCGGGCACCAGAGAATTGAGTTGTGCCGTGCAGTCTGATTTTCATGATGTCTCAGTTGATCTTCAGCTGATATCTCATGACTGTCTTTGTGTCCCATGGAAGCATGTGGAAGGGACGAAGAGCTGCGGCATCGCCGCCTTCGCGGACATTTTACCAAACCGCTGCCTGCCAAGCCACCTGCGGGCGGCGACCCCGAGGAGCCCCAGCTGTCCAACAAAGGGCCAAGCATCCCTCAGTGGCTTTGGGGGTAGAGGGATGTGCAAGGTTCAACGGTGGTTTAGGCTTCCTCTAGCTTGGGGCTTAGGACAGTTTTGGGGTTGGGCTTGCATGCTAATCATGATAATTGTTCAGGCTGTAGTTTAAGGTTGGGCTGGCGTAGGGTTTACGGTATGATTTGGGACAACGCCAGACACCTGGCATCGCATAATCATGCACCTTTGTGAGTCGTACAATGCCTTCATGCACTTCATCCTGGACAAGAAAGGGGCTAGCCACTAGCCAAGGTCCCAAGAATAACTTAAGGCTTGCCAATTGAAATCTCCCACCTTTCAGAGCCTGCCTCCACAAGCGGTCTTCAAGTATCGAGCAGCTTTGACGTGCGTGTGGCTTGACAAGCTGCGGGATGAGAGTTTGCGCAGGAAGTTCACATCTTTGTCATCGGAGACCCGCGGACGAAGAGTACTAATCATAGCTTTTGATGTTCACCAGCTGCACAGAAGGCGGGGGCATGCACATTCATGGGCCCTCGCAAGTGACAAGCATAGAAAATCTCCCCCAAGCACTGTCAAACCATAGACAGAGACGAATGGGGCGTTCCTAAGTTTATTGGCAGTAGAAGTCTTAAGCTGCTGTGAGTTTTGGCCGTGCCCACGCAAAAAACTTCCACGCTCCAGAGGGAGGCTCCTGGGGGTCTTGACGGCTTTGACAGCGGATTCACATGCGACAGCGGATTCACATGCCTCTCCTAAGGACTGGGGAACGTTTCCAGGACCGACGCAGCATGCGAATGTGGCATTAAAATGCATTAAACTGGGCGCAGACGGTATAAAAAAAAAGGTGCTGACTCGGTCGCTTCACTCACGACCGGTTCTCGGCGCGCGGATTGCAGGAACTGGGATCAACATGGGATCCAAGTGGCCCACGAGGCTCGTCACATCAAGAAATCAACATCCCATGGAGATCGTAGGCTCGAGACTGTAGAGCGGATGAGTCATGTTATTGCGGTTTCAACCGGACGCCCTGCCGCTGAGACAGTGGAATTCTTGGTGCTTCATGGGTTCCCGCTCGGAAAAAGAGTGGCGGGAGGCCAGCTTTTGAAGCAAAAGCGCTTGATTGGAAATTCCTTTGTGTGTAAAAACCATTGCGGTGCTGGAGGCAAAGGCCAATGACGGCATGAGCGCAGACAAGGCCAACAATGTCCAACACGCAGCTAGTCTCCTGCACAGTTCGTCGTCACAGCCGATGAGAGCTGTTCAGCAAGGCTGCGGAGACTAGCCACAGCTTGGCACCTGGCATTTCGCCATTTGTGCTGATCCTGCAGGTCGTTCGATCTTGGGGAGGAGGTCGTCCTATCTGCGGTTCGATGCACTTAGAGTGCAGCTGGGACAAGGGAGGTGGGCTGGAATGATTGTCGGTTGTGGTCGAACTGGAGGTCGCATGCGCGGCTAGTGTGGGTGTGTGTGTGTGGCTGTGGGAGGCGCATCGAAAAATGACCGATGCAATCCAGACTTCAGGCTGCATTTAACCTTACCGGCCCGGCATGTCAAGCATGCTCCTGAATTGATGGGCTCAGGACAAGAAAGAGTACTGGAAGGACCATCATGCGCAGGTGAATGTGGCCACCTCCATGACAGACCTTGCACGCCAGCGAAATCCGACCCTGGTCCCAACCAGCCTACTTGACCGTTTTTAAGCGGGCATCGGGCGTTTCTATACTTCGCAGAATGAAGACCTGTGTTCCAAGCCTTCCCAACGAGATTCCTTCCAGGAGGAGAGCTGTAAGGTAAGATGACAAACGACTTCTGCTCTTTCAGGGACGAAGTTTAGTGCAACGGATCCTATGCGACCAGTTCCAGTGACTAGTGCTAGTCTTCTGTCAGCAGGCAAGCTGGAGGGAAATGAGTCCCTGCGAAGCCGAATGCTAACATGGACCCGACAAGATGCTGCATTGTAGGAAAAGGATGGCATGACATTGTGGGAACATGGGATTGGACTAAGGAGCTTCGTTATCAACACGGCAGACAACTTCTATTATGCTGGTCAGCGTCTCAGCCATGAGGGACAGGCTTCGTTGTCTGTGTGAAGTCGAAGCGGCAGAAAATGACAGCAACTCACATTGTTTAAGTAGCTATAGCTTCAAGATCCTGAAGTTGCCAGGACGAAGGTTGGATTTCTCGCGTTGAATTTTAGTGTCAGTGGTAGTGAGCTGTGCACAAAACCGGAAAGTAGCAGGCTTGGTAACTGCTTGTGCTGCCCTCAAGCTTGAATGCTGACGGAAGGGTTGTTTGTTCGTATTTGTTCGTTTCGCAAACAACGCAAATGACCCTGAAACACCTCATTTAAGACATTGCGACTGTCATGTTTTGTGGCTGTGTAGCTCGAGATTTGAGGGGTGGAGGACACCTCCGACGAGCTTTGGAGCATGATGTTTGAGGCCGGCATCTTTTCTAAAAACCGCAATTCAGCTCACCAACAGCCGCTTCTAAGAAAAGATCATCGGAATGCCCCAGCCTACAGGAGTTGTACCCTGACGAGAGCTTGCAAATTCCTTGGCTAAGTTCACTTGGAGACTTTGCTGCATTTGGAGCATCCAAGCAACATGCTATGGTTGTGAGCCTTACCCTGCTATATCCGCAAAAACCCTTCGATCCTAGCAAGGCAATCACGACTATGGGGGCCACGATTGCGACTTCTGCCTCTGGCCCACTACTCGCATGGAGTATGACCCGAGGAGGGGTAAACCCTGTTCTCAAGCGGCTAGGCTGCGACGACCACAGCAGTATGCCAGGAGCATACCCAGTCATGAAGGTCTGCAGATTTTCTCACCGAAAGTTTTCATTACCATCGGAGGCGATGATCGATTACGATACAGAACATGGATGGGAATGGCCCAACCCCAAGCAAGTGCGCTGGGTCTTGCCGATGAAAGGTGCCCAGGCAGCGCTTACGACCTGGTAGATCCTGGTACTGGTAGTGCGAACATGTTGCAGCAAACATGCACGCCCCCTGACAGTTGTGCCACCTTCTGAAGATGTACAAAGATACCGTCAGCCTGAGATTATGTGATTCCATGGCATCCAAAGAACCCAAAATGCGTTTGAGGAAAGGACCGCTGGTACATGAAGAGCTTCAAGTTCCCAAAGGCCAATGTGACAGTCGATGTGTTTGTCATTGACACCAACAAGGCACACGCGACCCTGCGGCAGAAGATGGCAGAAGTATCAGAACATCACCCCTTTTCTGCCTTTTGAGCAGTAGCACGTTTTGCCTCACTGAGGTGAGCAGCCAGTGCTTTTCAAGCTGCCCTTCGAGGTACCAGTCCGAGCTTTGGCTGCAGCACATCAGCAAAGCATGGCAAAGCATGTCTTGGAGCCACGAGGAACCCATAGGAACCCCTTCAAGTATTGGATCGACGATTCAAGGCTTTAGGTGAGGCAGCAACTGCTTTGTGTGTTGTAACAATTGAATTGTTGCGTGGAGAACAACTGCGGAGGCTTCCACACTTGCCGGAACCACTTTCATGTTCTCAACTCGGCCGTTGTCACTCTCAAAGCTGGCAAAAAATCGCACGCGCAAGGTATGCGTGGACTTCTTCATGCAGCTATGGACGCGACAGAGAGCCTGGTTGCTGCCAGCCCTGGAGAATTCTAAAGCAGATTGGATGCTGGTCTTGAATAAAACGGCAATCTTCGATGGTAGACTTAGTTCGTTGGAATTGGCTCGGTACCGAAAACCCTTGCGCATTGCAGCCGCACACATGTTTGCTTGACTAGAGCATGCATGAATGTTGATTTGCTTTGGTCATAGCGTCAGGAAACTGGTCGTTGGGCATGCTCCACCAGAGAATTTCGAGGAGCGGGCCCCCGGTATGTCATGGTTTCTTGTTGCAGGCCGCCGAAGATCAGAGCTGAAACCATGCATGCAGGCATCCCTCATGGAAGAGATGCGAGACCGCGGCGTTACAGTGTTCATGGCAGGCCCCTGTGCCAGCTCACACTTGACAACAAACAACCCTCCTGCAAAGCACGCACGAGAGGTCACGTGCATCAGCTCCGCCATGACCGTCATCCATCGGGGATTGAGGTGCGCGATGTGGAAAAGCCTGAGGAGCTGATTTCATGGCTTCTGTGAGCTGTCTTCATCAGGCCGTCATCTCGGGTTCCGGCGGCGGTTACCAATCGGCCGGAGGAGGCCAAAGTCTTGTCCGCACATTTCAAGATATTCAAGAGTTGCACTTGTGGCTTTGCTGAGGGACGGCCTACACAATCCACGAGTCTCAGGCGCGACTCAGATGGCCCAACCAGAACTTCCATGATCGGCTCGAAGATTCAAATTTGCAGGACTATGGGTTTGCAGCGATGCATGTGGAGTACCACCAAATAACCGTGGAATACCACAACGACGAGGCCACTGTGCAAACACCTCGCGCAAGGTAGTTGTGTCTGAGTCGCAGCAGAAGTGGTTCAGCCGCCTGCCTTTCAAGGGCAGACGGCTTTGGGATCCGATCGTGATCCCCAGAGTTGATGTCGTTCAGGACAGCTGGGCAGGGCAGTAGCTCACATGCAGCCCAACAAGTTCTCCCAGCGGTAGGACATGCCACTTGCCACCACAGCTCGGGCCCAGCTGTCATGCTAGGAGCGCATCATGAAAAGTTTGCGCGAGGCTGGGGCTTTTGTGACATGGCAGCCTGACATGGAAGCCAGCTGCAGATTGGCGTCACTGCCCTAAACTTAAACTAAAACTCCACAACAAAGCAACCGTTGTTAAAAGTGCAGGCGGCCATCGCCGTTGATGCGGCAGCAATGAAAGAGCAGATCAGGAAGGCGAAAGAGCACGGAGCCGCCCGGCTCTGCATTTTGAGCGGAATCTGGGGGCCTTAAAGCGAATGCGCTTCGCATTGAGCCGACTCTGCGGTGCTACTGAGTGAGCTCAAGCCACATGCGCGCCCTCTACACAGTGGACAGGCCTGCATTTTGTTGTGGCTGCACCTCATTCGTGCAGGTGGACGATAGTTTCATCAACGCTGCTGCGCTGGCTGGCCTCAAGGCTCCGCTAGTGTAATGCTTGATGCGCCCCCATGTCTAGATGACCCCGCATTTCTAGTAACATTTTTGACAAAGACGTTGGCTTTTTGCTACCCAATCGAGATGCACGGGATATCAGCAGAATCCGGGAAGTCGATGGCGGTTATGTTTTGTTTCGAGTTGGACCACCTTGGAGCTTCGCTGAGGCATTCGAGGGCTCGGGAGGCGGCCGCCATGCAATTCCTTTTTGGATCTGTTGCGTCACTCCACACACCTGTCTAAAGTGGATTCGGCTACTGTATGAGCGGACATGAGGTATCACTTTGCATGCCATGTCGTGCAATCAAGTACTTGGTGTCAGCGCAGACGTCCATGCGCGGAAGATGGCAGATGCATTGTATCCCGTGAGGGATGGCGTGGGTGCACATGAAGCCCGAGCGGATGACGCCGCCGGGCTGTAAAAATGACCCCAGCCTCAAAGTACCTGCTTCTGCTGAGTCTTGCATACGTATCATGTTCTTTGTCTAAATTTCATTCCTTGATACTGAGAGTCCTCCACTGGACAATGCCCGAGTGGGCCCAGAGATCCCAGAGTCCAGAGTCAAACAAACAGCAGCAATTAGGCTGTTGCGCAGATCAAGGTGTTGCTGGCTTCGGTTAGGCAGACTCGGAATGTCGAAGGAGCTTTCTACACGAAAACACTTCGTTAATGGCCGCCAGCTTATAGACTTTTGGCAACTAAATCTAAATGCCAACGATTAAGATCTAGCCCGGATATTTCTTCAGGGAGGACAATCGCCTGTGTCCTGTTCCGTATTCTTGCAATCGGTTCACCGACTTCAGACAAACTCTGTGCCTGGCTGGGGCATTCCGGCTTGACGTGCCGCACTTGAATGTAAAGAGCACATTCCGATTCTGCAAACGCCTGTCACATGTGCAGCATAAGGAGTGGAGACACCACGTTTTCTGGCTTTCTGTCATCTTGGTCCGTGGAAAACAGACTCCTGGCCACTATAGCTATTTGTGGGCAATTGTGGGCAGAGGTAGGCAGCGTTGGGACAGGTGGTTCCATTCCAGGCTCGAGAGGAGTAAAAAATGCAGTGCTCGGCACTGAGGGCTAGAAGTTGAGGGAAGTTTCGGGTCAGCGGCTCACCCACAGAGTGGCTTGCACAAGATACCTTGAGGCCTCCCAACGGACTGGACCACGCTATATTACCCGCGTGGTGATCCAAATGCATGCTGTGCCTGGGCAGACCGATCAGTAGGGTGGCATGAATTTGGACGTTGCCATAAGTCAGGGCCGTTAGGCCTCCAATCGCCTGTGCCCGAGGGTATGACAAAGGTCTTGTTAAGCCGATTAAGCTAAAGTAACGTGCTGTATCAATCTACCCGGTACACAGAGAGTTCTGGGGAGCCTAGCAGTTTAGCGCCAGTTATACCTTTTAACAACGCAATAAAAGAATTATTTGGTTTGTTGGGTCAACCACCAAATAAAAGCTGCAAGGTGTTGATGAAAGGATGCTTAATGGGGGGTTCCTCAGGTCGCCAGCTGAATGTATCAATGCAAGCGTCGCCCCCCACCCCCCCCATCCATTTTCCGACAGATTGGCAAAGTCGGAAACGGAGGGGCCACAAGGTCTTGAGGCCCCCTCCGTCCATTCTTTCAGGACTGGTTCAAGTGATTCAAGAGATTCAAGAAGCAAATTGTGGACTTTTCGCACAATCTCGCTCTACGTAATTAAGATGTCCCAGCCCGCAGACACACGCTCCTTACCTTGACTTGATGCCATGATTTCGCTGATGCGCACGCGTCACCAGTAGCGTTGTGTTCTCTGTTCCTCCTCTCGCTGCGACAAACTGCACGGCTGTGATCGCGATCGTCCTCGCCGCGTGCCCTAGCTTTGGTGGCCCCGTTCTTCTCAAGCCCTCTGTCACTAAGAGAAGGAAGAGAGTTCTGGGGTCAGACAAGAAACAGGGAGTCAGCAACCATTCCGAAAATGGCAGTGGCGGTTGTGGTTGGGGTGAGGGGGGCAAAAATTGAATCCTAGCGTTGAGGGGTGTCATGAGAGATGCACTCCGAGGTCGCAAGCTCCAACTCCCTTCGACAGATGCCAAGACTTCAGCTCGGCACTAAGCTGCCAACACCAGGAAGGGGAGGATTCTGTATGATTCTGTGATCTAACATCGGTCCAATGAGTGAGCCTTTCGTATTCTCTTCTCTTTCGCTCGCTAGTTATTATAACCCTTACAACCATTGATTCTTCCCTAACTTTAGATCCCTTCATCCTTTTCCTGTCACACAGTCTGGTTACTTCTCCAAAAGTTCAAAAGCCTGTTAGGACGACGCATGATTGTACCTTCACTTCTCTTTGCATGCCTTCACTAGAATTGCATGAGGGCCCGGGCCCTGCTTTTTGCAACTAGCTTGCGTTTTGTTGCATGGCCAAGGTTTTATGTTATCCCAGCCCGAGCTGTACTGCCACACAGATGGCCGGCAAAGTTGCGCAATCAGGTCGGGCAATGCCTATATAGCTCAGATGTGAAACTAGAACACAAGGAAAGTTGTTTCCTAGGAAACTGCTCGAGTCCCGAGCGTACAGAAGAGCCAGGTGCAGCGGCCATGCTGCTTGCGTTGCCGAAGCAAGATCTGGAGCCTCTGCAAGCTGATCCCAACACCAACCTGACGGCAGAGGACGTGGGTGGGAGTCATGCTCACCGAAACCTGAGGATCTTTGAGTCACCTACCGGCGCCAAACTGTTAAACAAACTGTTAAACAAACTGTTAAACAAACTGTTAAACAAACTGTTAAACAAACTGTTAAACAAACTGTTAAACTACACGTGTGAAGTACACAGGAAGCGAGTATGCCGGTGCTCTCCATACCATCGCTTCCCATGAAAGACTTGGCATCATGGCTGGCCAATCCTGACGCATGGCTGACATTGGCCGACCTGAGATGCCTTGCAGCCTCTGCTGTTGTTTGAGCCTCCCGTCTCAGGCTGCTATCCAAAGAGCGCCTGAGAGCACCCTCTCCACCCTCGATTCCAACCTTCGCCCATGTATGCCCACGTATCCAGCCCACTGCAAAGTAGCCACATGCGGCAACAGACGTTGCAAAAGTTTGAGAGTCTGAGTCTGATGCCACGAAGCGGGTACCGTGTGCAAGGCCCCCACAGCGGACGGACGTTGCACACGCTAGTTGCATACTCACGTCAAGAATCCACATCGACAGGCTGTTTGATGTTGTGTGCAAAGCCTGGCTTTTGTGACCCCTTCAGCTGTCGATCCTAGAATAACCTATGCAGCACTACCTCTCGCTACAAACGGAGCACACAGACTTCCTTGGCGCAGCGTAGCTTGCAGCATCTTGTCGCACATAAACACCTCGGCCCTTGTCAGCTGCACTCAGCTCAGGCTGAGAAAATCGGCATCCAGCCCCTTGTTCGAGAAGTAAGGAGATTTCCGATCTGGCACTACATGTTGATTCACTGATGCGACTTGGGAAGCTCACTGCACGAGGCTCTATGGCGGGGAAGGCGCTTTCCAAGCTGCTCTGAAGGGTGCCAGGCCAGGTAAAAGGCGCTCACGACCATTGCTTTGATGCTTGTCTTCTGTCAGGGATGCTGGAGTTCCCAATGATGTCCTCGAGGCTCGCCATCACGTACTGGAGCAGTGACGGTGGAGCTTCCAGAAAGAGAGAAGTGTGTAGCGCTGCTCGAAGCGTGGCCGAGAGGCCGCAGTGAGGGAGGCCGAGCAGCGGCGTGCCGAGGAGAAGCTGCAGGTCCAGTGGATAGTGGATCGAAGTTTCGGAGAAAAAGGTAACACGCCAGACCGCACCTCACATATCCGCACATCATCGTAGGGTTGTACAGGAATGGTCGCTTTACCAATTGAAGTTGCATGTCATTGCAGAGGCGGTCATGAAGAGCTCCGACCCGGCAAAGATCCAGGAAGCATTGGACGCTCGGTCGGCCGTAGAGATCCTGTGGACAGATCCTGTGGACTCATGGAGGTCAAGAAAAGGCGTTCAGGCGTTCAAAGTTCAGAGCGTTCACCATCCCCCCGGCCCGCGCCCGGCCACCAGAAAACACCCGCGGGGCTGCAGTGCTGAGGTGTGGGCCTGGCTTCTAAGACGGTTTAAGAATCTCAAGACCTCAACCAGGGTAACCAGGGTCCGGGTCGAAGGCCTGGAAGTTAGTCAACATAGGCATACAGAAACGGCGTGGCTTGCGCACAGTGTCGGCCATGTATGTGCGGGCTCAAGATCTTGCAAGGATCTCGCCTTGCAATTCGGAGCTGAGAGTGACCTCATTGAGCAGGCGTTCCGATGATGTCCTTGTTGCTTGTGGTACGCCTTTCAACTTGGGTTCTGCTGTCATCACGCCAGTATATAGTTAAATCCGCCGAGCCCATTAGTTCGGCGGGCGCACAGATGATAGGAGAGTTCGAGGAGCGGTGGGATAAGGCACGAGCTCATGTTCGAGACTAGGTAAAACCTGTTCATGTTCGTTCAATATCAGCAAAGGCTTT